GGATAAATGTCAAGGTATAGTATTATTTTGTTAATAATTTTAAAGCTTTTTGTAAATATTCTTAAGTGCCCCAGAAGAACTGTACCAGTTTATCCTAACCAGCATCTGGCCCTGAAACTATACGAATCTGCCTTTTCTATATGCTGCCCGTATCCTTGCGACTCACTAAGACATTTTGGTAGGTGGTAAAATGGATTTTATTCTCTGTACTTTAAAATTATCAGGATGGTTGACTACTTCATATACATTCAGTTATAGTAACATTTATATTACGTTTCTGTGCTGATATTTTCTAGTAAATTATGTAATTGTATTTCTAGATGACATAAGTCATATATAAATATTTGCACACACAGATATTGTTATAATGTTTGACAATTTATATTTTCTTTCACATTTCCATTCTTTTTATACATATATAAAACTTCAATTATCATGAATTTTATTGCTTCTTTACCAGTTTCTCAACGTGCTTGTGTGACAAACAGCAGCTTCACTCTTCTTTACCTTTCACCTTTGACATCTAACGCATTAATTTCAGTGAACTCTATTTTATATAAAATGTAAGGCAGGGCTCTTATTTTATCTGTCATGAAATAATGCTGCAAATACCTTAAAAATACTTATTAAATCATTCCCGTCTCTTCTGATCATTCGAAAGACAACAGTGTGATTACAGTTTTTAGTTGTTTTTTTAAAGATTTATTTATCTATGCACAAAAGAGCTGGGGTGCAGGCCAGAGGTGTAGGGGCTGAGAGGATTGACCAGAGACAGAGTGGGGAGCAGAACAGGTGGAGCCACTGAAACACACTGCTGAGGGGAGCAGCAGGGAGACGGGAGAGGTCTGCTGTGCCCTGTGGGTTGCTCCCAAGTGGCCAGGAATCGAACCCGTGCTTCAGAGGCTGCGGATTGCTTCATAGTGCGGTGATTAATCCCTTGCATTACCAGGGAGGCCCCTACTGTTTTTAGAACCCTCCTCCCCAAAACTGAGTAAAAGAACAAAGATAGACCTGGCAGGAGAGGAGCAGCGTGGGCACTGCCAATGCGGCTTTTCTCCTGGCACCGGCACCCACCCAGTCCTCTGCGGTTTCCCTTCCTCATCCTGGTGTCATCACAGAGTCCCGGTCTCTAATGGAGGAAAGATCTCTCATTTCCCCTGCTGTCTCCATCTCTTCCTGACTGTGCCTCCCTGTCCGGCCCCTCTCAGCCCGCTTCAGCGTTCCATGGCCCGAGGAGAGCAGACCCCGCACCTTGCACAGCAGCGTGCCCTGAAGCTACAGCTTTACGATTTTCACCTTAGCTGCTTGTTAGGGTGAACGAGGTCTGCTTAATGCCGAGTCTCACTTTTAGGGAACGTTCTTTTTAGGAGACACAGTTGGCAGGCTTGAGGCGAAGGGAAGCTGAGTCCTGGAAAGAGGAGCAAGGGGCCTGCTCTCAGGGAGAGGCTGACGGCCCGAGCTGGCTCCGGCACTCCGGGGAGGCCTGCGGGTTAGCAGGAGAGGCGAGATGTGCCCTCAAGAACAAAAAATCGCAGATGCAATTTTAAGGTGATTAGCTCGCGATGTAAGTCAGACCTCTGCACCCTCACGCCTGCCAATATTCAGATAAATCTGCCCTGTTCGCACAGGAGGCTTGTGTGTGTGTGTGTTTCCATGGGAAGGAGGAGGCGGGGATCGCTGGGCCAAGCGCCAGCCCAGAGGAAACCCGTAGGCCAGGTGAGCCAGGGGCATCCCGCCCTGCGGGCACCCACAGAGAAGGGGTCCCTTGGCTGGCTGGAGGGAAAATGGGCAGAGCTGACATTTGGGTCACAGTAAGCAGAAAAAGCAACAGACTTCAGGCAGTGAAATAGAAGGCCGTGATCTGCGGTCTCCCTTAGACTTCATAGAAATACAGACTTTCGTGTCTTCCCGTGGCCTAGGGGCTGCGTCTCTGCGCTGTCTCCGCTGCAGCCTGGGCTCCAGCCCCGGCCAGGGAGCTGCTCACAGGACGCGGCAGACCCCTTCTGTCTCCCCGCTGCTCCCCTCAGCAGTGGATTTCAGTGGATCTGCCTGTTCTGCTCCCCGCCCTGTCTCTGGTGAGTCCTCTCACTCCTGCACCTCTGGCCTGCACCCCAGTTCTTCTGTGTAGAAAAAAAATACAGACGTTCTTCTAAAGGATTCAGTGCAGGAAGTTGTCACATGGGCTGTTCCTGAGCGGAGCCTTTGAGAACGGGGCACACGGGTTTGTAGCTCTTCACCCCATAAGGGCGAGTCCCTTGGGGAGCTGACAGTATAAAGGGCAACCGAGTTTGGGTATTTGAAGTAATTCCTGACAGTATTTTTTCCCTAAACCCAGCAGATAGAAAGCCAGTTGAATTGTAAATGAAATCTGAAGACACCTTTTCACAATTGCCTGCATGTTAATGGTGATAATGGTATTACTATTTTCGAGAGCAGAACATTCAAATTTCTGAGAGTCAAAAAGGAAAAGCACATTTTAATTATTCATAAGCTTCATTTATTTATATTGTCAGGGCGCACATATTTTCCTCCACAAATCTGTTATTTTAAACGGTTTTTTGTTATATCAATATTTTCAGTAAAAAATCAAGAAACATATTTTTTTTTCCAAAAAAATGTGAGATGATCTTATCCAAAAATATTACCCACATCTGCCTCCCGGAACGACTTCGTGTGCTTTCGCCTCTTCTCTGGCACAAGGAGGAGACTCCGGGGGGATCGGGACAGCCTGGGGGTCCCTGTCCAGGCTGGGCGGGTTCCTGTGTCACCCCAGCCCCTCTGCTCCTCTTTGTTGTGCTCCAACCGCACCTCAACCGAACTAATGCATTTTGCAAAAGGCTCTTTTCTTTCTAGGCGGACCATGGCACTGCCTCTCCTGTCCTGGCGCCTGCGGCTGCCCAAATCCACCCTGAGCCCTGAGCAAAGTGACGCGCGCTACTGAGTGAGAAGCTCAGAGCTGCGGGAGGCTCAGGTTGAGGAGGATAAGATCAAAGTGGTTTCTTTTAAGACTTCCGAGGTGGCCTGGGAAGCAGATATATTTATAATCCTTAGCTTAATTGCGATGATCGCGGGACCTCTGAGCCTGCAGCGCCAAGCGGGAGTCAGTGATCTCTTAGTTTCTCTGGGTGAGCAGACCCAGAGAGTTTAAGACCGTATTTGACAGTGAGAATTATAAATGTGAATTGATGGGGTGCACGTGATGGTGGTGATACTGACGGTGATGACATTTACTCTGAGGTACGAGGTGGTACAATTCCCATTCTCCATTTCAGGGGTGAGTAGGGGACACCACAGAGTTTAAATAGCTCTAAGTCCCTGACTTTAAAGAAGAGTGTCGGGGCCTCCCTGGTGGTGCAAGGGGTTAAGTCTCAGCACGATCAAGCTGTCAGCAGCCACAGTGCTGGAGAGCTCGATCCCTGGTCAGGGAGCTGACCCACGCGGTGCAGCAGACCTCTCCTGTCTCCCCGCTGCTCCCCCCAGCAGTGTATTTCAGTAGATCTGCCTGTTCTGCTCCCCACTCTGCCTCTGGTGAATCCCTTCACACACACACACCCCCTGCCCCGCATCTCTGGCCTGTGCCCCAATTCTTGTATGCATAAATAAATAAATCTTAAAAAAAAATAAAATAAAAAGGAGTGCCAAGGCTCCCGCTAACTCAGTGCAAAGCCTGAGGGGGACATGGAGGGCTGGGTGGGAATGAGCATCGGGTAAGACCCATGGCTGAAGCCAGAGAGAATTTCACCAGCATCAAGGTTCCTGGATGATGCTATAAAATATTAATAAACCCCAAACAGCGGTGGGCAGCTTTAACAGGAGTCTCCCCACCCAGGAAGCCGAGGGAATTCAAGGAAGTGGGAGCAGAGACGAAGCAGGAACTAGCAAAGTTTGTGCAGGGGAAACCATCTGCAGGTTTTATTTTATTTTAATTTATTTGCATAACAGTATTTCAAAAATTCTTTATGATTAAATTTTTGCCATTCTTCAGATGCTTTCTCCCAACCCTTCCCGTGCAAAGATGGGCAAAGTGGATTAGGCAAATCAGTCCCACAGTGCCAGAGAGTAGAATACAGCAGTGTGATAAAAACGAGTAATTAGGAAGCCGTTTCTTCAACGTTTGCCTCTTTCCTGTGCCGGGGCCAGGAAGAACGCTCACGGCCTGCGGGAGGAGGCGCGACTCCCTCCACGCCGATCTGGAAAACACAAGTGTTTCAGCTCATGCGAGGATTCAAAGGCCTGCGGTCAGACGGCAGGAGCAGTGAATTCGGTCTCATTAAGGCCTAATTAATTGTGCACCCTTGAAAGCACGGAGGCCCCTGGCGTGTGGGCCTTGACACGCGCCGGAGGGGACGAGAGAGGCGGGCGGCGAGACAGCGCCCCGAGGCCGAGGCAGGGGCGAAGCCAGAGCGCGTCTCGAGAAAACTTGGGACTGGGGTGAAGGTGATGTGCGCAGGTTACCGGGGCCCGGGGTCCTCCTGGCCGCGGCTCGGGGGTGGCCCCACCAGGGGCAGCAGGAGCGCAGTGGCCCCGACCCTCCCGCCGGCTCCTGCCCGGGGCGGCGGCCGCAGCCAGAGCAGGCCCGGGCCGAGGGGCTCGCGAGCCGCCTGGGCAGGACGCAGGCCCGGCCTCCGCGCGCCCCTCCCCGCGCCCGACGGCGGCCCTGACGTCTCCTCGGCTGGGGCCGCGGGCGCCGGGCACGGGGGACGCGAGGGGCCGCTGCAGGCGGGGTGGCCAAGGACAGGCCGACCTGGGGGCCAGCGGGCGCGGGGAGGGCGCTCCGGGGCGCCGCCCGCGGGCTCTGCGCGCACAGGCCGCACCTCTGGGCGCGCGGCGGCCGCTGCTCCCTGAAGCTCCGATGTGTTCGCCGGGCCTGCGCGCCTGAGCCGCCCTCCAGCTCGGCCCGCGGCGCGGAGTCCACGAGTGGACGGTGTCCTCGGTGTCCTCGGCATCCTCGGCATCCCCAAGCCTCACGAGTCTTCCCAGAGGGGAGGCGCCAAGAGGCTCTCGCCCCGGCCTCCTCCCGCCGTCCTGGACGAAGATTCAGCTTCAAGTCATTTCAATATCGAAAATCTTAATATAAAAAATCTTAATAAGATTTTATAATTCTTTACAAAATGAAGTGGGATAGATAATCTCATTTTGTCTCAAAATAGCTCTTTGCCGCAGGAAGACCCTGGCTGGGGTTTCCATTGCACTAATCAATCAATCAATCAATCAATCAATCATTCAACAAAAGCCTCACTTTCTATGTTGGTGACTCAGTGTCTCCAGGTCATCTCAGCCCGTCCCCCTGCTTCGGCCCCAGCCTTGCCCCAGCCCGCAGGCCCAGCCCTCAGGCCCAGCACTGCGCCGGACTCTTCCTGCCCCTTAAAATCAGCGCTGAGGGGTTTGTTCCCCTGCCGGAGCTCCCCAGCCTCCCTTGTCACCTGGTCGGGTGCCCTGACATCTCCCGCGAACACTCCCACCGGCCCCGGCGCCTTCACCCCGGAGGACATCCTGTGTCTGACTCTGCCAGCGGGACCCCGGCTCTCCTGGCTCCGGGGGCTGCGTGGTTTCTCACCTGCCCCGCAGTAGAATCCACGCTCTAACCTGCTGTCCAGGGCCCCCGCGTGCTCAGACTCACACTGCCAACCTTCGCTGTGGATGACTGCCCAGGAATGCCGGTCCCGCTCCTATTAGAAGTAATAACATGTTTTAGGCTTCAAGGTTATCCGGAGGCTTCTCAGAAAAGCATCGCAAAGATACTGTATCCGTCAGCAGGGGCTGCGTAATGAAATACCCACGGACTCTGTGGTTTAAGCAACAGAAATTTATTTCTCATAGTCCTGGACGTTGCAAGTCCAGATCAAGATGGGGGGGCTGGTTTGTTCTGGGGCCTGTCCCTTTGGCTGACAGGATGACGGCCCCCATGTGCCCGTGAGCTTGGTCCGTGTGCACGCTGTTGGTGTCTCCCCCCTAATTGTAAGGACACCCGTCCCAGCAGAAGAGGACTCACCTTGACCTGGTACAACCTTGGTCACCTCTTCGGAGACCCAGCTCCAAACACAGTCACCACGGGGTTCAAATGTCGGTGTCGGAATTTTAGGGGCCCACAATTCAAGGACCTCTGTGGTTATATTAAGTGGACTCTCATCCTAACAAACACTATTACTCCTGTCAATTTATGAGAAGGTTCTTCTTTGAAGGTGACACAGCTATGTCTGTATCTTGTCAAGCTTTGAACTTGGGTCTTCCTGATCTCACTTGATACCAACCCACACATTATCAACACTGACCGCTCAGTATGCGCAGGAGCAGCTTTCAGACGCTGTCTCGGCTGCGCTGAGCCTGTGGGCCCGCTGCCCAGCTCGCCCCTTCACTTCCAGATGTTCAAATCCTGCAAACTCAGAGCCGGGCAAGGACCTGCCTGACCCCTTCACCCCAAAACATTGTCTGTCCTCTGAGTCTGTTCTCTTTTCCAAAAGTCGGCAGGTTTCTCTCCTCTGTGAAATGCAGAGAAGCAGAACAAAGAATCAGACAACACAGAACCAAAACAATCCCTAGAAGTGTGACTGTAAAACTGAGGCTGCCTGAGCGTGTGGGGTGAGGAGAAGGGCCCCGTGGACGGTGGGGGACTCTGGGGCCATGGCGCTGGGGGTGGCGTGGAGACGCCTGCAGGGGTGAGCCTGGACTTCTGAATCATAGGCAGTGCTGCAACCAGCGCTATCATAATATATATAAATATACACCAATACAACATTTCATTATTATTCTTAAAAAAATACATCTTTCATTCCAGGGGAGAAGTCCTAATTAACAAATATATTTCATATATTTAGGCAAATAAAAAGTCAGATTTATTGAGATAAACTTTGCCAACACTGAAATGTTTCCTCTTCGGTGTACAGTTCTGTGGGCTCCAAAAAGACGCGTGAGGCCGTGTGACCCACACAAGCAGAGACAGCCATCCCCTCGCCGCGAGATCCCTCTGTCCCGCGGCCCACAGCTCCTCGAAGCCAAGTTCCCAAGACACCTGACTTGTCTCCCGGCACTTCAGGCTGTTCTCTACGTAGAGTCACGCCGTGCGGAGGGTCTGAGTCTGGCTTCATTTCCCCCTTTTAGCCTCCAGCCGCTCTTCTTTGCTGCTGTCAGTGGTGCTCCGATCCCATGCCACTCATCAGTTGGGGACGTTTGTGTTATTACTTCTAATTTTTTGTGCCTATCAGTAGAGACACTATAAATACCCATGTACAGGTCCATGTGTGACAGCATCTTCTCACCTCCCTTGGTATCCGGGAGAGTCTGTGTTCATCTTCAAAAGACACTGTCCAAGTCTTTTCCAAATTGAGCATCAAAGCTTGCACTTCCACCAGCAACACCTGAGAATTACCCCATAGCATCGTCAATGCTCGTTACCATTCTTTGTGACCTCGAATAGCCTAGTAATAGCTCGTTAAGAATTTCACTTTTATTAAACAAGGTACAGCTTTTAAATTGCACATTTTATGAACGTCGATATTTAGTCAATTTCTATTGCTCCTGCTATTTAATTGATTTTATTACCAGTTTTAAAGCTTTCATTTTGAATATTGAATGACAGAAACCTTGCAAAAATAATATATACCTCATTCAATTTCCTTTAATGCTAACATCTCAAATAACCTGACTGCAATTATCAGAACAAGAAAATTAACACTGACACAATACATCTTTGTAACTAAAGACCTTATTTGAATTTCACCAGTTTTTCTACTAATGCCCTTTACCTGCTGCATGATTCTATCCAGGGTCCCTTGTTGCGTTTGCTTGGTACTTCCCCTTAATTTGCAGGATTCTTTTCTTGTCTTTCATGGCACAGACACTTTTAAAGGCCATTGGTCATTTACTTTTGTCTCTTGACTTCAGGATTTGTTTGATGTCGTTTCCCCAGTGATTGCACTGAGACTACAGTCCAATGCTAGGGAAAACGCTGAAAGTGATCATTATCCTTCTTTTTGCACTTTAAAAACTATCTTGGAGGCTCACAGAGTATCATTTGTTTTTCCCTAATGATCTGTGAATTGTGTTTTTACGTCTAAAGACAATCATTTCTCCATGGAATTGTTGTTGTGACTTTGCTGAAATTAATTCATGATTTGCTCAGGTCACACCTGGACTCTCACAGGCACCAGGCACCAGGCCCATCCGGAGCAGCACTCACTGCTGCAGCTTGATGATTCACCTTGAAATCAGGGAGTACGGGTTCTCCAATTTTGTTCTTCTTTTAAATTATTTTCCTATTTCATTTTCATTTTTATATGCAGCATGGAGGTCAATTTGGGGAGACTGGCATTTGTTGTGCTACTTTCATTGAGGTGTTGTTGCTTCACAGCACTTCACTTCATGGACAGGATTTGGAGATCATCCTAACGCCATCTTCCAATCCATGAACTTAGTACGTCTCTGCATTTAAGCCTTCTTAGAGTTACCTCAATTTTTTGTAGTATTTTCCACTTACAGATCTTTCTCATATCTTATTAGATTTAAGATTAAGTATCTAATGATTTTTGTGCTATTATAGATGCTGCTTTTAACTTTAGCTTCTAATGTTCATGGCTAATAGATAGAAACCCAAAAGTATTTGGTCTCACACTCTATGATATTCTTCAACTAAATTATAATTTATAAATTCTGTTAGTTTTTTTGATGGTTCTTTCATTATTTTTACATAGTTACTTTAAAAATAAAGAATTCTCTCTCTCTCTCTCTCTCTTTCCTGTCCTTACTGCACTGATCTCAGGACAAAGTGACTGTGAAGGGGAGAAGGGAAACCTGTTGTCCTCTGACCCAGGGGACAGTCGGGCTTCTGCCTAGGCTGCTCTGGGCTCTGGGTGTTCACGTGGGTCCACACCCCGGCAGGTGCAGGCCTCTTAACTTCTAGTTTGCTCGGATTTTTAAAAAAGATGTATTTATTTATGCATACAAGAACTGGGGTACAGGCCAGAGGTGTGGGGGGTGAGAGGATTCCCCAGAGACAGAGTAGGGAGCAGAACAGGTGGATCCACTGAAATACCCTGCTGAGGGGGCAGCGGGGAGACAAAATCTGCCCAGAGATTTTGTTACAAATGGACATTGCAGTTTGTCAGTGCACATACGGCCAGGTTTCCCGCGCTCTGGGCAGCTGATACAGTGAACCACATCGGCTATTTGGCACAAGTGAAGCAGATTGTGCCACCTCAGAACAAAGCCCATCCCATCACGAAACATCACAAGTTTCATATCCCGGTAGATTTTATCAGCTGCTATTCTGTGGAAACGTTTGGCGTCTCTGTCAGAGAAGGATCTGGAGTGCAGACTTCTTGTGCTCTTGCCTGCGTTTGGCGCCAGGATGTTCTGACTCCTGACACGCTGGGACGTGTCTGCTCCTCTCCCATTTTCTGGGGAGTTGATTTTAGAATCCTTATATTCCCCAGCTCACTGGCCAGCTTTGCTCCTGTTGTCCCCTAAGCTCTTGTTCGTCCCCAGGCTCCTCTACTCCCCACCTGTCCCAGCCTCTCTGTCCTGCTTGTTATCTAGTGCCCAGGAAGTGGGTGGAAGGCAGGGGCTCCCCCGATGCCCTGATGACTCACACGCAGGATACCCACCAGGCCACAGAGGGCAGGTCAGCCTCTCTCAGGGGTTGTTCCTCCTTCTCAGGCACCGGGGGTGCCTGTCCTGCAGCACAGTCACCCCTTCCTCCACACCTGTCTGCCCAGCCTCCATCCACCTCCCCCGCTTTCTGGGGAGTACCTGTTGGGTGCATACAGAAGACCCTGAGAGGGGACCCCATGCCAGACGCCCCACGGGTCCCACACACTCCTGTGAGCTCACTGCAGGGTACAGCATGCTGCGTCCCTTCAATATTCCCATGTTGGCATCCGAACCCCAGGGCAGCAGCGCTGAGAGGCGAGTCTTGGGAAGGGAAGAGGTCATAAGGGGGGAGACTCACTGGGGGTGCGAGTGCCTAACCAGAGAGCCCCCGGCGAGCCCCCTCGCCCCTCCGCCAGGCGCCGGCACAGCTGGGCAGCCTTGTCTCCTCCCCTACCAGCCGCGCCTCCGGTCCAGCCAGGCCACCTGTGGGAGGGAGCAGCCTGCCAAGCCTTGGATCAGAGAGAGGAGCCGCGGCCCGGCCGAGGGTCACCTGCGCGCGGCCTCCAGGCCCCCTCTCAGGAAGGCAAAGCCCTTGAGATTTCCCAGTTCTTGAGATTTCCCAGAAAATCATCACCCATCAGCGGAGCTCACGAAGGCTCCAGCTTCGTAAAGTCTTACAGGTCTTAATTTTAGCATCTCCTTTAATAGCTTTCTTCTTGGAATTCATCTTTTTATCCCAGATAAGCTCTTCCCACGTCTGACTCGATGGTGGGAAAGTGTGTTTCCTTTTCATAGTGATTGTGTTGTCATTTAAATCAGCGGGAGGGAAGCAGGGTTTTCTCTGCGGTCAGCGTTCCCCTGCGTGGTGGGGGGGGGGTAGGAAAGGGGTGGCTGCTTATGAAGGGGTGATCACCCACTCCCGTGCAGCCTGCGAGCCCCTGCTCTTGATCACCCCATTGCCGCTCACACTCTGGAGCAGAGACGGGCGGGCGGGCAGCAGAGGGATTAACTGTAATTGCTAACTCCTTCCGAGTCCATTGAGCAGAGCTCCAGGCCCGGCTTCGCCCGGCGGGAGCTGCTGGCA